AATAATCAATAAAGCCGATCAAAAATCGATGAATTTAACTTTTTTCTCCGATTTCGTTCAAATTCAGCATGTAGGTTACTTACATCATGGCGAGCTCAATAACACCTCATTTTTATTTCTACGCAACCGCGTTTAGCGAAAAACACGAAAAATGAAAAATCGATTTCAATACAAATCAATTTCAACACTAATTTTAAACTAAAGCTCCCTCAATTTTCAAGCAATCTAATACAAACTTCACTCAATTATAGTTAATAATAAGTTGATTGTTTAACAATCATTTAACTTGATAATTGAGTTCACGCATATAGTAAAAACCCGCGTAAATAGCGAAAATGGCGATTTTTACTGTTTTCTTTCTTATTTTTCATTGATCTTTCAACTAATTTTCATCAAACTTAACAGTTGTTTTTTAAATGTATCCTCTTTTACAACCCTTTGAAAAATTCCAAAATAATTGTAGTCTGAAGTGGGTCTTCATGTTGCCTGTTTTACCCCTTCATGTCTTTGGCTAACTTCGATTTAATAAACACCGACTACTTCTGTTATATCAGTAACTGCATTAATTCAAAATGTTTTTAATGAAAGTACTTTAAAGTGATTGAAGATAAAATCTGTTACCTCTAAACATGATGCTGTTTTTTTGCTCCATTCTAAGTGAACGCTGTTTTTTTAACGACTAGGTGTGGCTATGGCTGCTAGTTTATATATAAGATGAAAAAAGGATGACCAGAAAGAAATTGAATGGCAGATGACGGTCATGATGATAAAGGAAATAAATACAAAAAAGAAGCCGGAGAGACAGCGAGAAGGAATGTGAATAATAGAACAAGAGAAGGAAGAATTAATTAATTAGAGAATTCAGAGGATGATAAAAATTCAAAAGAGAAGAGGTACAAGAACCATGTGAGAATAATAATAATAATAATAATAAGAAGAAGAAGAAGAAGGAGAAGATGAAGAACAACAACAAGAACAAGAAGAAGGTCGTATTCATCCCAATGGTGATAAATTTATTTATTTATTTATTTATTTATTTAGAGAGAGAGAGAGAGAGAGTGTTGAAGAGAAATATAGGAAGAAAGAGGGCGAGAAACAGTCAGAGAGAGATAAATTGAGAAAGATCTAATGACATGAAGATAGTGAGAAATTGAGAAGTACAAAGAAGAGAGAGAGGGGCAGAAAGCAAAAAAGAAAAAAAAGAAAAAAAAAAGAGTGCCCGAGTGAAAGAAAGGCAGAGAAAGAAATAGAGCACGAGAAAAAGAGGGAAACAGAATGAATAACAAAGAGAGCAACAGGGTGAGAAATAGGGAGAGAGATAACGAGTGAGGTAGAGAGAGAGAGATAGAAAGAGATAATGGTAGATAAAGAGAGAGAAATAGAATGAGAAGCACGAAGATAAAAAAGAGACAGCAATAATAAGATAGGGAACGAGATATACTGAATGATATAGAGAGAGGGGGAGCGAGAAACAGAGAGAGAGAGAGAGAAGGCGACACGAAGAAAAAATGCTTCAGTGAATGAAAGACAGAAAAAGAGATAGACTACGAGAAGAAAAGAATAAATAGAATGAATAAGAGAGAGAGAGAGAGAGAGAGTGAGAGAGAGAGATTGAGATTGAGAGAGTAATTTCAACATTTCGATGTTTGCCGAGGTAAGAAATAACACCTCGGTAATTAAGAGAGAGAAAGGGGGGCAACAGAAAGAAAAAAAAAGAGTGAAAGAAAGAGAGCGAGAGAGAGAGAGTGGGGAGAGAACATGACTCCAAGATTTAGCGACTTGCCGAGGTCAGAAATAAATCCTCGGTAATTAATACAAGTCAATACTTACAGCTGGAGGTTTGCCAGCGAAAATGATATGTCCTGCTCAGCTATATGGCCGATCGAGTTTCGGAATATTGCGTGAGGACTGAAACGAAACAGGTAAAATTAGTTCTTATTTTTACGGCCCTTGTTTGCAGTCAGATATGACAAGGCAAGAATGCAGTGATCTATTCTGATTTTACTTAATGCATAATTGATCTAAGCGAGAGAAAGTATATTCTTTCATTTTCTTTTTATGTGTCGTGTCCCTTAAGGACGTAGGCAATCATGGCTCTCAGCGTTCCCCTATCCCTTGTAGCTCTCAATAAATTTGTCCCTTCCCACAGGCCATGTTCTGTCATCCACTTGCTTAAACTTGCTAGGTATGTCATGAGTTGCTTTTCGTTGTCTCTCTTTCCTTCTACTCGACTTGTGAGTATCAGATTCTCCAAGGCCTCCTTTCTCATTAACGTGACCCAGAAATTTCAGCTGCCTCTTCCTGATGTTAAGTAAAAGCTTCCTACATTTGTGCATGCTTTCCAAAATCTTATCGTAGCATGCACGTTCGGTCGATGTTAGCATCATTCTGTAGAACCACAATTCCGCTGTATCGAGTCTGTTCTTAAATGCATTATAGAGAAGACAAAGAAAGCAGCAGAGGGAAACAGGGCGAATTAGAGAGAAAGGAAACAAGAGAG